CGCACTGGCCCCGGCGAGTAGTTCTTCGCCGGAAAGGATTCCGGTGGGGAGCGCTACCATGAAACCGTGTCCCCGCTTCATGACTACCAAAGCATGTGCCTCGATTGAGCCTTCCTCCCCGGGGGCCCGGATGCTCGTACACGTAGGACTGAGCCAGGTCGCCAAAAGGCACGATATGATCCATCATTGCTGGCTGGGCTGGGGCCAAGGACGCCCGGCCCCTCTGCAGTAGGCCTCACCCTCTGTGTCCGAGGGAAAACCGTGGAACACAGCAGATGATGAGGAAATTGGGCCGAGGACCCTGGCCAGGTCTCGGTAAGCACGGTAGACAGCAGGAGTGGCACCCCCACCGCCCAAGACAATGTACACCTTGGAGGGCAGAGAAATCCGCACCGACGCCGCAGGAGTTGCGAAATTTCCCCTAAGGACCTCGCGGGCCCAGAGGCCAGCACGCCAAGCTCTCTGAATTCGTTCACTCCCGGTTAGGTTCGCACTTGCAGAAAGGGAGGACGCACGCGCGAGCAAGTCAGCCGGGCACGCAGGAAAGGAAGCCTCAACCTCAGACCTGGAAGGCAAAGCAATGGCCGAAGCCTGCAAGGGCACCTGAACAGCAGGGACTGGCACAAAAGGTGGCGACGATACGGCAGGGCCCCGAGAATCGTAGGCAGCTTCCAAAGAGGTATAGGTATCAAGGGTAGCCCGAAGGGGAGACTCAAGCTCAACCCTATGCAGAAAGGGCACAGCAGAGGATGGTGAAGCCTGAGGCGAGGAGGCCGGCAGGGAATGCAGCTGGCGAGGAGACTCAGGCTCTACTCGCTGACAAGGCCCGAAGGCCAGCAAGGGGTCCCGAACCTGGGGAGGGACGACGGCACCTGGCAACCTGAAGGCCTGAAGGTGGGCAAGGAGAGGCGTAGCCTCAGACACAGGACCAACCACCGTAACCCTAAGACCACCTAAAGTAACCACAAGGCTAACCTCACCGGCGGTCTGAGGGGGAACTGGCTCTTGCATGCAAGTACTCCTGGAGGCGATGTGCAGGGCGAGGCACCGGCTGCCTTGGAGCAGGAGCCGCCGAGAAGCTGAAAAGGCCAAGGCGAAAACCCAAGTAGGCGGCCGAGAAGAGGCCCAAAATCCAGCCTACAATCAAGCACAAGGCAAGGGAGGTCAAGGAGGTAGGGTGGCAATGGAGAGGACAGCCAAGACCCCAAAGGTTAGTGGCAACCCCTTCACGCAGAAGACCTACCAGCCTAACAAAATCCATCTAAGCTTGAGCAGCGGGAGAAATCTTTGTGCTGGCTGCTTACTTGTCAGGGTACCTTATTTGGGGGTCCTGAAAATAAGCATCCTACTATTTAGGGTACGTATATTAGCAATCAGGGTCCCCCCATTTTCGGAAACCCCCACAGTCTCTCGCAGAGAGATTCGTCAACTGAGACGAAGACAAAGGAGCCCCAGCATCGAGAAATACTCGTGAGCATCCAGGATCTTCACAATTTTCTGAAGTTCACTCTTCGTCCAGACATCATCAACTCGCAGCACGAAGACCGTCACCGACCTCGAGGAAAGGACCTTTGCAAATCCTCGCTCCAGCCTCGCAGCCATGGCTTACCAAAAAAATAAGATGTACCAGTTTAACCTAACAGTTAGTAACTTTAGTATACAATATCTACTACCTAATATTACATCCAATGACTAAGTATCTTCAATTAGATTAACGAAGCAGCCCGCTGTGGACTCCCTGCCAATGCGGGCGAGGCACACATCAGCCATGCTAGCGATTCCTACATTCACATGCAGGAGGTCGATGTGTCTCCTGCCTCGGGGCACGCAGGAGACGAGATGCAGCGAACCAAGAACGAAATCAAGCCAGGTTGCTGAGAACTTCCTTCCAGATGTCGTCCAGAGTCCTGGTTCTCGCCGTCACGGCCAGATCCGTCTGCCTGGAAGCGGCTCGCACGCCACAACCAGATATCCCAAAGAGGGGTAACAATACACAGCTGCCTCCGGAGCCGGTAGCAAGGATGGGAAGGATTCTCCATGGTCGGCCCACCTGCCCGACAGCTCTCTGCGACCTGGGGCAGGGAAGAGTCGACTGTCCATCCTTCGGCCCTTCGTATGATAGACAAAGCATAACGAGGCTGTATGAAAAAGATACTCTATACTCTATAACAGGTGTATAATATATATATATATATATATAATATTATATATTTTTTCCACATATGATATAGATACACATACATAGCTATATCAGCAGCCAGAGGAGGCCTCCTCCGCGGCAGGGATCTTGCCGCCTTTCGTATCGAAGAACACCTGCGGTCCAAGCACTGCAGGGGAAACCCCTGAAGCTTGAAGCCCTGAAGCCTGAAAACCTCAAACCCCCAGACCCTAAGATCAGAAAAGCCATGGAGAGCAAAATTCGACCCGCTGAACTACAAACCCTTAACCTCAAACCGCGAACCTTAGCCCCTAAACCCTAAAAATCCTAAACAGTCTAAACCCTGAAAAAAAAAAAAAAGCACCTGGGCTTCCTCCGCGCTCCGGGGACCGAGGCTGGCCCGTAGAGGCCGCACCTCTCAAGGACGCCGGCAGATGGGTTTAGGCCGTTTAGGCCTTAGGGTTTATAAGCGGACCCTAGCGTGATTTCATAAGGTTCCATGAAGGTGGTATAGTTATGAAGTTTCAGAGAAGATGGAGCCGTAATGTCGATCCTACGGAGTAAGATCCTTCTTCTAGGGACGTCCAAAAACAAACGATTTCCAAACCCTAAACCCGAAACCC